GGTGGTTGCACAGATTGGGGAAGCGTTGCGCTGGAAAGTCAAAAACTTTATGGTGTTCGAACAAAGTACGATAGTGTCACTGAAGATACATAAGGATTATTGTTATGGTGCAAGTGATTATGTAGGACAAAACAGTGTGCTGGAAAATCAAAAGTGACGATTGAATAAGGTAGGAAAGTGCGTGCATTTACATAGAGTGGCGCAACATTATAATTTTTTATCATTTTCATTATTAATATCAGCATCATCACCATATAATATTTGACCAATGCATCAAAGTATGTTGTATGTACGCACACACACAGACACACATACATACGTATATATGTATATATATCTATATTTATCTCTCTCTATATATATATACATATAAATGTGTGTGTGTGTGTGTGTGTGTGTGTGTGTGTGTGCATACATGCATATATATATATATATATATATATATATATATATATTATAATATATATATAATATATATATTATATATACTTACTTGAAAAGCAAAAGGATAGGTAGCTAGATTGACAGACAAACAGAGAAATAGGTGGATGTAGGTAGAAATAAAACTAGAGCGAGAACCTAAGAAAACAACGACAAAACAAAATAATAAATAATGAATAATAATATGATAGTAATAATAATGATAAAAACAAAAATACATATCAAACCGAATACCACTCGTTACCCCTCCCCCCCCCAAAAAAAAAAGACTCACGGTTTTCCTTCTTCCTGCGACACGTGACCTTCCAGACGGCCTTCAGGATCCTCCACACGTACTCGAGCACGACGAAGGGCGGGACCAGCGCCGGCTTGCTGTCGTACTCGCGGATCAGGCGGTACATCTCGAACTTCCAGATCTCCATGCTGTTCTCCTGGACCTCGTCGAATACGTAGCTGTGGGTCATATTTTGGGGGTGTGGGATGCGAATAATTGTGGTTATACACGGCCGGTTTGTGGGTTATATATATATATATATATATATATATATATATATATATATATTATATATATATATATTAGTATATATTTTTTTTTCGGGGGGGGGGAGGTATGTGAATAATTTTTAGTTATATACAGCCGGTTTGTTAAAATTGTGCAGGCCCGACCAATGAATTTTCATAAATACAGATACAGAAATAAAGGCACATCTGTCTATATATATATATATATATATATATATATATATATATATATATATATATATATATATATATATCTGATAGATTTACATTTAACTATCTATTTGGGGGGTTGATATGCATGTCTAGACTGATAAGTATGCATTTATTTCTTCATTTATGCATGTCACGTATGCGAATATTCTTTGGGTCGGGCCTCGCACAGTTCTAACAAACCGACAGACTGTTGTGAATCAGTCGTATAAACCTGAGGAAGAATTGATAGAGTCGGAAGCGAAAGTCGTGTCGTGAGGGAAGCTCCGAAATCCCCCTAACCTGAACGAAGGGTTCGGGTGTTCGAGACGGAATCGAAGCATGTTTTATAGATGATTTGGCCGTAAATATGTGATTGAATTAGATCATGTTAATCCTATACTGTATAGTGTGTGATTTGGTATAAGCATAGGATTCAGGTTTCAGATTGAAAATACTGGTCCAAATTACTGGCATGTGAGGATAATAAATAACAAACCCTTAGTAATAACTGAAGACATTTCTTACGTGAAAATAGCTATGAGAAGGTTGAGCAACATGATGTTCCCAATAATGAGATAAATAAACAACATGAGATTAACGGCCCACGTGTATTCCTTCGCGTTCTCACACACACAGTCCGGAATGCAATCCTGCCCTTGAGTTGCACAGGACTCTGGGACGATGCAGGACTGTTGGTAGCACGTCTCTACGTTGTCACCTGAAAGAAACGATTAATTATTAGGTAGGTGGAGGTGTAGGACTTGCGCGGATATTACTTTGGTTAGAAGTCAGTGAACATATTTTGATCGTTCTACATTAATGGAGAAACTTGACCTTGACACGCTTTGATTTATCAGTTCGATTTCTGTGAATAGTTGGTATCATATGAACTGTACGCATACAAGGGAGCAAGTACTCAGACACTTTAGGGACATAATACGTGACTTTGCAATACAGCCGCAGCAAATTGAAAAGAGAAATGAGACAAAAATATAATTTCTCATGAGAAAATCTACGATGGAAGAATGATACGAGTTGAAGACATTATAGAGTAGCAATAATCAGACATCTTTCACTCATTCATTAAACAAAGAAGAAAAAACACTGATAATAATGATAATGATGACATCCACGCTAATAACAAGGCTAACTGCTTGTGAAACCATCGCCCACCTTTGAGTTCGTCCAGCAGGAGTTCGCCGTACATCTGCCAGTAGGGCGTGAGAACAACCTCCCTCATGAGTTGTCCCACGTCAGTCATGTTGAGGGAGGAGACGTCCCGGCCGGGGTACAGGAGGCCCTGGGACGCGAGGCCGTAGCCCAGGATGAAGATCACCAGCAGCGCCATGAACACCAACACCTCGGAGATCTGGGAGCGACGGACGAGTGGTAGACAGATAGATAGATAGACAGATAAACAGACAGATAGATAGATAGATAGATAGATAGACAGACAGATAGACAGAAATAGATAGATAGGTAGGTAGATAGATAGATAGACAGATATATAGACAGATGATGATGAAATGGTGCTGATGCAGGTGGTGACGAGGGTGGAAGGGAAGAGGTGTGGCATCTGGTCGAAAAAGCGGAAACAGACACGATAGAGAAACGACTCTAACAGAAGGAGAAATATGATAACACAAACGAAATGTGAGAAAACAAAGGTTATGGTAATAGCAAAATCTCTCTCTCTCTCTCTCTCTCTCTGTCTCTCTCTCTCTTTCTCTTTCTCTTTCTCTTTCTCTTTCCCTATCCCTTTCCCTTTCCCTTTCCCTCTCCCTTTCCTTTTCCTTTCCCTTTCCCTTTCCCTCTCCCCCTTCCTCCCTCTCCCTCTTCCCCTTCCCCTCCCTATCCCTACCTCTCTTCTTCTTCCTCTCCCTCTCTCCCTCTCTTCTTCTATCCTTCTTTCCCTCTCCTAACCTAGACTTACCATTCTGTAGAAGATAACGAGCTTGGGTCCCAGGTGGTAGTTGACGTGATAAATCCTGAAGAGGCGACAGTAGAAGAGGGTGGTGTTGAGGGAGTAGGCGATCCGACCCCACTTGAAGGTTTCCCGGTAGAGTCTGAGTGCCAGTGCCAGGAGTGCCAGGGTAATAGCCATCAGGTCAAATCGGTTCCATACGCTGTTTAGCCAGTCGCTGACCTTACCCCGGACTGACGTGGACTGCTCTGACGTTATCTGGGAATAAAGGGTATTGTGAGTAAACGTTTATTTCTTCTTCGTCTTTTTTTTTTTTTTTTTTTTTTTTTTTTTGTCCTTCTGGTGTATGTTGGTTAGCAGAATGAGTGTGTGTTTTTTATGTGTGGTTGAGCTAGAATAGCGAGTGGTTGGTGAGTGATTTCGGTGTTTGCAGTTGAGCTACGGTCGCTGAGGGGGGCCATGTATTCTGATATCATGTATTCTGATTTTTTCTTCTCCCATTTTTACTGCTACTACTACTGCTGCTGCTGCTTCTTCTTCTACTACTACTGCTGCTGCTACTAGTAATACTACTATTACTACTACAACAACAACAACAACTACTACTACTACTATTATTACCACTACTACTGCTGTTACTACGACTGATAAAAACGACAACAATAAACACACCTCAGACAGCTCTCCGACGATGAACGTGAAAATCCAGCAGATGACCAGCGTCTCAGTCACGGACATCTCGTACTTGAAGTCGAACAGGATCACGTACGCATACAGGAGGAGGAACACGACGAAGGAGGTGGAGTGGGCGAAGAACTTGGAGATCGGGGACTTGTAGAACACGACGAGTTTCTGCCACGCTGTGAGGTCTCCCCCGTTGTCGCCGAGCTTTTGGAAGCTGTGAGGAAAGGGGTGGTAGGTGAGAAAGAGAGAGGAGGGGGGTAAAAGAAAGAGAGATAGAGAAAAGAGAGAGGGGGATGGAAGAGAGAGAGAGAGGGAGAAAGAGAGAGTGAGAGAGAGAGAGAGATAGAAACCCTTACCTCGCAATCTTACCCCACCCACCCACCTCCCCAAAATAAGTAAAAAAAAAAAAAAAAAAAAAAAAAAAAAAAAAAAGCACGGCGGTCACTCACCCAAACAACTTGGTCCAGACGAGAAACGGGAGGAAATTGCAGATGGTGACGGCGAGGGGCGGCGCCCTGGTCATGCCCCTCCGCCAGTTGAGCTCGACGGAGGCCTGGGAGCACGGGGTCGCGATGAACATGAGGTCGTTGGCGAGGTGCGCGAGTTCGAGGCAGTCCATCTGGCCCCACTTGGGGTTCCTGCGCTCCACCAGCCCCATGGCGTTCGGCGGGTCCTCCTGGTAGCACACGTCCTGGAGCTGCCGGGGGAGGGCGCGAAGGAAGGACGTGGTTGTATATATTTTTTTCTGTTTGTGTGTGTGTGTGTGTATCTGTGTGTTTTTATATGGGGTAGGAGAGATCTGGGTAGTGCGATAGTCTTGTTATAGCAAATAGAATTCTAGGTGTGATTGTATTACCGTGTAGATATTCCCTTCCTCTACTCGTTTTCATTTCCTGTTCCCTTCCCTCTCTGACTTCCATCCCTTCCCGTTCTCCCTTTTCTCTCTCGCGGTTTCTCTCCCTTCCCCTGCCACTCTCCTCCTCATTCCCTCCCTCTCTCCTTACCTCCACTGCCAGAGTCTCAAACATGGTCTTCTGCTTCAGGTACTCATTGAGGATGACGGTGTTCTTGGCGCCTAAGGACTTCCAGAGACTCTGATACACGCAGGAGGCCACCACGGCAGCACACAGCGGGGTCTCGCAGCGCTCCCACAGAAAGCGGGCGAGTCGTCCTCTCCGGCTGAAGATCGCCCACAGAAGTAGCTCCTGGTAAGGATCCTGAAAGAAGAATCCTGTGTGAGGACATTTATACGAAAATGTACATACATACACGAACTTGAGTTGAATTTTGTTGTCGTTGAAACAATATAAATAAATCTCTAAATGCGAGAAAATTAATACATGAAGATAAATAATACACACAGAATGTAAAATAATGAACGAGCCCGCACGTACACAACAAACGTAAGGCCAAATATGATGGCAAAGAGAAAAATAGAGAAAGAAATACAATAATGGAAAACGCAATATCAACAGAAAACAAGACATAGATGTAGTTATTATACACCTCGAAAGTGAGGTAGTTGATGCTCGAATCCACCATGACCGCCTGCGGAGTGTCGGCGAGGTACACGGGGTCGTGGTGTTTCCTGAGCATCGCCTGGAGGATGTTGTGGACGTGGACGAGGTAGTGGTAGTTGCTCCGGGAGGACCTCTGGAGGAGCCGTCGCAGGTGCGTGTGGGACTCCGATTTGCACTGTGGGCGGGGCGGAGGGCGTTCAGGGGCGGCTTCACTGGGGTTGGTCGCGTTCATTGGTTATGTGTCATGTGATCCATACATGTAAGTATAGTATATATATTATATATATATATATATATTATATATATATATATATATATATATGTGTGTGTGGTGTGTGTTGTGTGTGTGTGTGTGTGTGTTGTGTATGTGTGTGTGTATACACATACACACACATACATACATATACATATACATGTGTAGGTTGTATCATATTCATGAATGATATTTTTGCCAAGTAGAGTCTAGAAGCGACATTACAACACGTGACTCGGAGCACAAACGACTGACCGCCTCGTTGTACAGGTACCGCAGCGTCGTCACGTTCAGGTAGTCCCTCATGACCAGTCCGTTCATGATGAACAGCTTGACGAACTCCACCTTCTCCTCCAGCAGCGCCGTCGTCATGAGGTCCTTCAGGTCCCACGACGCCCAGTTCGACTCGGCCGGGAAGATGTGGTTCTCGGCGATGTCCGGCCGGTCCCACAGGAGGGCGAGGCTCAGCTGCTCCAGGCGCGAGGACTGAGCTCCTCCTGCGGGCGGCCAGACGAGGAGTGGGTGAAGGAGCGAACGGAATTGGAGAGAAAGTAATAGGATATAAAAAGAAAATATCTGGTTGATACAAAAGTTGGTCAGCAAAGAAGCCAAACCTCATTTTTTAAAATTACCTTTTTATACAATGACGAAAGAAATTGCGACTGCAGGCTACGTTATCTCATTTTATTTTTTATCGTTGACAATCAGATCAAGTTGAATGAAGACCAAGTTGTTTGTACTTGAAATCAGGCCAGGCAAAGGAAAATATTAAAGATCTATGGATCGGATAAGGGCTTTTATATCAGGCTGCAAAATAAAAAGACTACAAAACGATAAAGAAAGGAGTAAAAAACAGATAAGGATAATGAAAGAGAAGCATAGGTAAATAAAGAAGATAATTTAATAGGTAAATATATAAAACATGAAGAATAAAAAGGGCTTTCGAAATGAGTCTCTTAAGACTTAACCAGAAGCACTGGATCTTAACAGTCACCGCCCAAAGTCCTTATTCCAATACGCTTAACGCCTCCATTACACTAAACACAAATGGCAAAACGCAACGAAATCGAAGCCATCTTTCCGTTATCTCGCGGACCCACTCGCCGAAATGGATAACGAGTAACGTCATCCGCAGATCATATATCTATTTCATTCACAGCGAAGAAAGAGTCAACTGAGCTAAAGACCCCAAGAGACGTGCTTACGAAGATGAAACGAAACATTTGGGAAAAATAAAGAAAATCTATAAGCCACGACATTCTGACCCAGACTCCATGCTCTTCTTCGGACGGCAAAATCACGGCGCGGAGCTTATAGAGTAACTCGAAATTCGAAACTACTTCTTCGTGACATATTATAATTTCCTTTTTTATTAATTTTTCTATTCATTGCCTTAATCCCTAGTGGGGTCGGCCATTCAAATACTGCCTCAAAGTTGGGCTCTCTTGTGCAACCTCTTCTAAGTTTAGCTTCCTAAGGTCTTCCTACACTTTTCTTTCCATCCGCTCCTTTGCCTTGTAACTGGTCGTCGTCTTTATCATTTTCTTTATTACTGTGATCCTACACTTTTTCTTTCCATCCCCTCCTTTGCCTTCCAATTCATCATCTTTATCATTTCTTCATTACCTCTTTCATTTCACACACCTGATAGTAACGCATAGAGGATACAGTGGTCGAGCCCCTCTCCGCAGTCGATGTCGAAGGTGATGATCATGTTGGCCCTCGCGCAGCACTCCAAGACGTAGTCCGCGCATTTCTGTAACGTGAAAGGAATCATAATTATGGACGACTGTGAATGGGTATGTGAAGTCTGTTCATGAAAGGATGTCGATACCGGTAGGAAGTTCATGTGGGTAAGGAAAGTTTAAGAGAAGCTGGGAAAGAAAGGTGATGAAGCATTGAAATTGGATCAATTAAAAAGGACAAGAAGGATTTAGAGTGAAGTAGATGGTGCCAGTAGATGT